TATTTTTAAGAATCTACACTGTACATTACAAACATACACAAGCATCTTTGGGAATAAAAGGATAGCAAACAATTAAGTACCTTTACTAGCAATTTGCTTGGCCAAATATGAAATTCAGGCAACGCAATTAGAAAGCTGTGTTTGCAAAACTGATCTGCTAAGTACAGCACTGAAAATTCCTGATTTTGGGAATAATACTGTTGGGTCACTGAGGGCATGTCATGGTCTTTACTCTCAAATAATGTTGTATGTGGTTTTTTTCTGGAATTTACTACAGTAAATATGGTTCTTGTTGACAGCTCAGTACATGACTCTTAGCCAACTGTTACCGTAAGGCACTTAGCAGCTATTGACGCCATAAAAAGACTCAAATTTAGAGTAGTGTGAAAACACCAGTCTACATTCTAGAATAACTTCATTTTGAAAAAGCAGTGAAATCCTAAACAATTTATTGTACTGTGTTGTTCACTAATGGTTTCATCCACTCCTCATAAACCTTCAAAGATACAAGTGCTTTAACATGAATAAACAGAACATCTGTTCATAATGTACTGCAAATATTCACCAGAGCATCTTTATGGAAGAAGCATATGAGAATTGACACTTGGATACAAATGAAGAGAACTCTAAAAATAGATACAGGAATTGTATTTAGCTAGATCTTAGGCACCTCCAGAACACAGGGCAGTTGCATTTTTTCAAGTTTCAAGTGTATTTGTGAAATTGAGTATACTGGTGTCTTTAGAAGTGAGAGGCTGGCCATATTACCAATTTTATTGTTTCATTTTATATAACCAGTGTTACAATTTTTAAATACTAAAATAAAAATAGTTTACTCATGGTTTTCCCGCTGACTGTAATTGAACATTTCTTGCATGTCTGCATTTTCTTAAACTAATTGAAGACTTTGAAAGCGTACATATTTAATAATAATTATTAATAAAATAATAAACAGCATTGTCCCATAATACTGTCATAAATGCTGAAATGAACTGCCTAAGTTAATTGAGCCAGGAGAAAAATGTTTGTGTGTGGTAAGAATACTTTGGAATGTAATTCTTTCCTTGATTTGAACACTTCCATTCACTAAAGGAAAGCTCTTCCTTTCAGGAATTCTTGATGAATTCCTAAGTTTTTCTTGTGAAACTTAACAGTGAGTTGGTTCATTAAAAAACAATAGTAGTAATAGTTACCTTGCTGTGGTAAGATCTTGAATTGAAGAATTCATATTTACTTTAAATGTCTGACATTTAATTAAACTTTTTAAGGTTTTTTTTTTTCAGAAGAAATTTCTAATTATTTCTAAGAAATTTTCCATTACCAGCTTAAAACTCCTACACAAAAATGTATCATGAAATAACACATTCATTTATGCTTGTTGTTAAGGTAACAGTTTTATCAGAATAGCAGAAATAAAATTCTTAGTTTGTTAAGCTAAGATAAACAGAAATTCTGCTAAAACACTAATTATCTTGCATTATTATGGGATTTAATACATTCCAATAGAAAAAAATACACAGACATTACTCTCGTCTTGTAATATAGCATAGCTGTCCTTTAAAGAATATACTGGTAGACAAATATTTGCAAATTCAGTAAGTATGTTTACAAGGTAGAGTCTTCCAACCTGAGCTGTCAGTTAACACATACTCAAGATTCCTGTTAACAGGGACAAACACCTTTGAACAGTGATAACTGATTTCTGCTTCCCTCTCTCTCTCTCTCTCCCTCCCTCCTTCTCTCCCTTTATTCCATCCATCCATCCATCCTTTCATCCATCCCTATCTTATTTCTCTCTGACTATTAACTCTCAGTTCCTAACATCAGTCATTTTTATATCAACCTGTTCTGGTGGCTGAAACAGATTATGTATGGAATAAGCATGAGTGGTACTCAGGTCAAAATGTGTGAAAATTTCAAAGGTTTTAATAACACAGTGGAAAAAGTATCTTTAGTTGGTGTTAGCATTAGCTGAGGAGTGAAAATGTATGCACTAATTTGCACAGCAATTGCAGCACAGCCTCTCCTGCCAGCACCAGGCTGCACGTGGTTATAGCATAGCATAAACCTTACAGAGCAAACAGTGCAGAAACCTCAAGACTGGTAAACTGTTTTTCTGTGGGTTTTGCTAAGTAGTACAGAGAGAGAGAAGCTTACGAGAGCAATATAATCCTGGTCCTCTATTTATTAAATGGGGAGGTTGTGTTACCTTTAAATGACATTCAATCTTTCAGATGACTGATTTCAAAAGTTATCTTTCTAATAGCTGGTAAAACTTGCCGGAAATCAAAGTAAATAATAAAAAATACTGGGAGTTATTAGAATTTGTCCAATTTATTCCTTCTAAAGATTTAGCTAAAAGGAACTCTTCTGTATTTTGGCTGCTTATTCTGAACATTTGAATAGATGATGGCTTTGAAGATGCCATCTCAAGTACTGCACAGTTAGCATAAACAATTTAAAAATATTCTGCTCCCGTAACAGATCTTGAAATGCCTCATTTAATGGCGTATGGTGTTTAGAGCCAAACTATTCAAAAAAACCTGCAAGCCTGTATATTTTCATTATTTGGTAACATAAAATCTGTCTTTTACTGTTTTAATAATGACTGAAAAATAGCTTGCAGAAAATAATATGTCCTTGGAATTTGCTTCAGACTGCGCCGCCAAAGATGGCCCTGGAGGGTGGAAGGGGTAAAGCTCAAATTACTGGCTTGGGAAGAGTTGAATTTACAGGCAAATGTTGCCAAGTAACTTTTTATTGCACCTACTTTTCTGAAATATTGTATATATTTTGGATACATCAATAACAATTTTCTCCTAACTTCTAAAATATTTTTTGCCTTTCTAAATGTGGGGTCTGAAGATTTTGTTTGGGAATCTTTTAGGCCCTGAGAGTACTTGCTTGTCCTGATATCGGGTTGTCACAATTATGTAGTTCAGTATTCTTTTGATTGTTTTCAGCAAATACTACCCCCCAGTCAATGTTCTAATCATTCACTTGATGATTTTATTATAGCTGTGCATATGGAATGTCATTTTTAAAGACTAGTGATCTAATGTTTTATTCAGCCTACCCCAGGAAATCTGATGTAAAACTGTATTAAGGTAACATGGATACCACTGCACATGGCATTTACTGACTTCTGAGTCAACGTTCTGAAACTTTCCATAGACTTGTATATATGGTAGCTGGAATTTTTTTTCCTGTTTAAACGTTCCTAATAGGAGTTTACTTTTCAGAAGCTCGAGAGCAGTACAGAACACATTCAGTTCTCATATTTAGTTCCATCCCCATTTCAGTTACAGACCCTACTGCTATAATTAACTTTGTATTCCGTAACACCTTGGGAGTGTTCTGTTTTCTTCTCCCTTCTAGCACATTCCCCAAGGTAACACAAAATAATAACATGCCATATGGCAAATGGAATCAGTTGAAATACCAGACAGTGTCTTCTATCATGTACATTTTACAATATGACATTCCCGAGTTTGTAACTGATGAATATTGCATCACCTAAAAACTCCAACTGTGTGAAGCTGCTTCTTCCATTACCGGCATCCTTGCCGATACTCTGAACCTTTTAATTTTTTTTAACAAAAGTGCAGCAGCTGCCATTTTCTGGGAATCAACAGCTTACAAAGGAAGTGGCAGAATGTCTTAATGTGTGGTAATCTTATCAACCTGCAAAAAGTGCAGTATTTTAGCATCAACAAAATATTTGCAAAATCATGAAGCGTGCCATATGTGATTGCTGTGATGCAACAGTAATAATGTAGAGTTCCTGAGAATCACAGGATGTATTATTTAGGTAGCACTGTTGCACTTTTAAACAGTGCTGTCCGAAGGCATTAGGTGTAGTTCTACAAAAGTGAAACATAAGCATTGTCATAGGCATTGTAGGTAGGCTAAAGCAATTCCCCCAAAGGGCCAAACTCAACAAGGACTTGTATTTAGTGGATGAACTCAACACATGTGATAAGCTGATGTCACTTGGGAATGTGAAGCCCTGTAAGTAAACCATGTATTAATAGCTGACGTGTTGGTTCATTATCTCTCATTGGCTTTATTTTGTAAGCAGGAGGGAGAGGTGCAGATAAAATAGATAGGCAAATGATGGATATGTAGTGCTTAGTTGTGAGTATACCATTTCATCTTACATTTGTGGCAAATGTAATTTCAGTTCATTCTGGAAATAAGCTATATCGAAAAAGTTAAGAGAGCATTTCTGTCACAAGCAGCTGAGAGGCCTTGTGTAGCTACGGTTCCCGTAGTTTCCTTCCTGCCTTGTTGTAAAGACAATGTACTTTCTCCATCACATTTATTTCTACCACTGTGTCATGACAAGTGGCAAAGCAACTTTTCCCCACAGTAAGGGGAATAGAAGAGCAAAGGATGAATTGTTGTTCACTGTTTGTGCAGCTTTGCTCCTTGGTAAATATATTTTTACTTTCCTTCAGTCATGCTTGAGAACTAAGCAAAAGCTCTAAATGAACACTTTCTGTGCCATCAGTGTAAGAAGGTAGAGATAGTTTGGAATGTGGTTGCTTTGTTTCAGTGTATTATGTAATGCCCAAAAAGCTCTGTACTAGGATAGCGTAAGTTAAGGTTTTAGAACTTGGAGCTGCGTGGTTGAGAAACAATTATGACACACAGCACAACTCTCTTTTTTGTACAAATATTACTTGTTTGTCTTTCTGTATCGAATTGTAACATGTTTTATTTAAACAAAGTAAAATGGAATATGGTAAAAGGATTTTATTAAAAAATGTCAAATACAAAGATAGTAAGTATTTGCATGGAGTGTAATGGCAATTTGTCTCAAAAAGGAAATTAATTGTTTGAGTGGGTGTAAGAAGGGTATGTGTGTGTATTTATACATATATCCATGGATACATATAGCAGTAACTCTCAGAAATACTAGAAAGGAAAATAAGCAAAAACTATTTCAAGTAATTTGTACAATTTATACTTTATAGAGAATCACCTGAGTTCCTTACCTGAATTTTCACAAACTGCTCTGTCTTTTCATCCTTAATTTCTCTTTCTTGCTTATCTGCATCTTATCCACTGCCATTTTCAATGGATTGCTTGTCTCCTTGTCACATATTAAACCAGTGCAGACTGCATATTGAGAAACCTGCATTGACAAATATCCATGAGTTACATACTGGTAAATGAAAGACTTATTTTTACTGCTCTTCTGTTTTCCGTAAAAACAGAGATAAAGCAAAGAGAAACTTGGGTCACGTTCTGAAGTAATAATGTTTGTACATGTGAATACTGCCAAATTTCTGCATTGCTTATAACTTAAATTCATGCACAGAATCTGTTAATGGTTTTTTTTTTGGTTTTTTTTTTTTTGAAAACGTGGCAACAAGAATGCATAGATATATTATAAATATCTGGCAAGTTGTTCTTTGGAAGTACAAGAAACACCTTCAGAGCATTTATGTGTTTACTTTTAAGCCTAGTCTGGAAGTTTAAAACAAGGTGTCTTATCCAAGGCACCTCTTAATTCTGGTCACAATTGCAGGAATTATCCTTACTCTATTTACTTTCTTTTACCATTATTTTCTTTTTTTCCTAGAACTTATTTCCTGACTTTTCCCTAATTCCTAACAATTGCTCCATCTTTTATATCTCTTTTCCCCATCTTTGTTTCTGAATGGACAATCAGACCATTAAGAGTTTATAAATAAAGATTGCATTGTTCTATTTTATGAACTTTGCTATTCCCAGCATTCACCAATTTCTAATCCTCTGAATTCCTTAATTAAATCCAAGATAGTTATAAACACCATTATGGGGAATTTGATCACAAATACTTGAAATGACATTTTTGTCATAAAAATACAAAATATAATTAACTCCCCTGGGATGTTTAATAAAAACTGAAATATGAGCATATACAAGGGTGCCACAGAATTTTAATTGAATTTAAGTGCAGACTCTTAGGACGTATCTTGTAAAATGAAAAGCTTATCTTTAAAATAATTTCTATATTCACAGGGAACCTATTTGCTTGAAAAGGACAACAGATGTTGTCTACACAAAGACAGAAAGTACAGAAATACCTAAGATAGCTTCCTTTAAATGATAAAAATAGTTGTCATTCCATCTGAAAGACTGCATGAGACTGTAAGCCTGCCTGCCAGAGGGCGTGGACTGGCAGCCTTCTGAGGCTTGAAGACACAGAGATAAAGTGGGCAGAGCCCAGCATCAAAGATGACCTTAGATAGGTTGATAAGAGCAATTTGGTCCCACAATTCCCACTGTTATTACTAAAAGGCTTTACATGTAACAAACATCAACATCAGAATTCTCTTATGCTATGTAATCATTAGCATAATGATTAAAGATCATTCGTATCATTTATTGCAGAGTTCTGTGATTAATCACATCCTAACTTTAAGATATTTAGCATACATTTTCACAGAGCACAACAAATTTTATTAAGGTGCCCTGCTTTTCACAGAGAAGATATTAAATGCTGATTGTTTGTTATTTGCCAGGAAATACCTGCAATACACAAAATACAATGTTTTCTGTGATTTTTTTTTTTTTGCAGGAACCATCTGTCATGTCCCCACTTTCACTGTACTGAGGAAGGCAGATGCTGAAGGTAAGCAGCACATTTACTTTTGACAATGGCTAGAGCCTCTAGCCATTACATTTACCTAGCTTTAGAGCAAACATGCTGGAGAAGTGGCTACCTATTGTGATTCTAGTGCACTGGGACCAACTATGACTACTTGTGATAGCAAATCTCCTGAAGTCCTGAGGAAATTTGTTTTATAGATCTTGTCAGGAGAGCATATACAAACAGAGTTCCAGCTGGGAACTGGAACAAAGAAGTGAAACTTCAGGCTAGAAAAGTATCAGGATAAGTTCAAGTACGAATTTGCCCCTTCTCCTTCCTTCGTTCCAGTAGAAAATTATACTGAAAACTGTTTTTCTCTAATGATTATAGAAGACTCTGAAATTATGCACAGCAGGTAGAAACATCCGGCACAGTTTTCAAAAGATATTGCATATTCATGCATTTTCCAGTGCTAACAGCTAACTACTGCAAGAGCAAAGGCTGTAAGCTCTGCTGCTGTTCATTCTCTGCCCATTTTACTTTTTAAAATTCTGGCATCAAATTCTGGGGGCTGTATACTCTACTCTCTGTTATTCTTACCATCGCTCTTAGGATGAAGAAAAATATTTAACATGCCAAATCATTTTGACTTTGAATCTGATTGCAACAAATTGGTACACAATTTTTGAGAAAGTGAAAAGGGATATTTCTTCACTAAAACACATGGATCCCTTGTTATAATCTTTCATATTGCACGAAGAGAGGGCTGTGCAATATGAATGTACCTAGCGCATATTTCAGGAGCAAAATATAAACACTGGCAGCAAAGGGCACTTTATGCAAATGTGTTTTCTGAATGATGGCTTTGCCTCCCTGATGATTCTGGCAAGACATAATAATTTGGAAAAATAACTGGAGTGCCCTGCCCTTTGGCTCTTTTCTCCAGGGTGCTTACATCCCCTTATAAATAGAATTATGACAAAACAAAATGTACATTTGGGTGGGAGTTTCTTTGAAAATACAATAAATATATAACTGTGGAAAACAGTAGAGATAAAGCAGATCTATAAAGGACACCTTTTGGAAGAGAAAACAGACCATCATGCCTAACTTTATATTGCACTCATTTTCCTTTTACAGCCCACCTGTCATTCTTGTTATCTTTGTCTAGAAAAGAATTTACAGTCTTAGAATTTAAGTCTCTGCTTCAATTGGTTTCCATGGTAACTTGGTTCTGTTTTAAAACCTCTATATAAAATTGAATTGGTTAAAATGTTAATGCTGGAATGGCTGCCTATACCTCAATTACACCTTTTTCACTATTCAACAACATTCAGTTAGGGGTGTCCCTCCATCTGCTCTAGTTTCTTTACCTCCTACAACACTGTCTCACTAAGCAAATCAATCAGTTCTTATTGCACGCACAGAATTTGGGTACTGACCAGTGGTAACATATTGCATCCTGTGAAGTACAGAATAAGGCATGTTAAGTTCTGGCGACTTGAGCTCACTAGGAAAGGGTCCTTGTGAGTACAGTAACCACACTGGGGCTGAAAGCCCCAAGGACAGTACTATCTCTTAAAAGATAGCAGAAGAACCAGAAGAAGTACAGGATCTCCCTTCTAGAAAATGCTTTTCATTAAGGTAGAAGAATTTCCCCTTCAGCCCAGATCAAGGCAAAATAAAAGGTTAGAAAAGCAAATGAGAGTTTTAATTGGTTTTAAGAATCCTATGATGTTTTTCTATCACTGCGGTTATGAATATTTTATCCAGCCTTTTGTTATTCTGTATCTTAGTTTCAAGCTTTTCTCATGCTCTCGTAGTTTCTGATTCTCTGGACTAGTTTGACTTTGTGATGATAATTCTGGTTACTGGTCTCAAATCTCAGCTAGGAAAAAAATCAATATTTTTTATCTAACTTAAATACTTCAGGGATAATACAAGTTACAGCTGTAAGGAAATCTTTGAAGAATTTCTAACATGGAGATGATACAGCTCTTCAACAATTATTCTGAAAACTTAATGATTTCATAAAGGATGATGCCTTACCTGTATAATTAAAAGCTCTTAAAATTCTATATTAGATTTGCTTTTCTGAGTTGTATTGGGTACCTACCTATTTGTATAGAAAATTTTTGTTCCATAAGAGGCACAAATAGAATTAATGAAAAATAATTTTTCACTGTGTATGTGCCACGCAGACATGCCAAAAGCTACTGAATGTGTGTACACACCTGTTCATTTACAGCTGAGATTGTCTAAACACTTGGTAAAGATCTCAGGTTTTGCGATGTGACAAAAAGATTATTTTCCTGTGATAAGTGATTGTCCAGCTGGTCCTATTACATGTCTTAAATACAAATTCATGTACAAAACAAATTCATGTTTGCAGTGTTTTGTAATCCGGCTAGTATCAGAGCTTGCACTTAACTATACACTATTGCTCAGTGACTCTCGTGTCTTTACCTCCTTTCTCAATAGCATTACTATGCAAATTATATGCATGCTATATCTTTTATATGGGTTTACTTTTGTATTGACTAGACTTTGATTGTCAAATACTTGTTCATCTAGATAATAGAAACACCTTGAAATTCAATGACAATTCTAGACGAGAAAGTCAATGTTTTTGTCCTATGCCAAACAATGTAAGTTTTCTGGAAACTGGATTTAGGCTCTACCTAAAATTCCTACCAAAATAACTTGAAAAAACAAACATTTTTTCCACCTCTTTGTAGCACATTTTTAACAGGTAGCCTCATTTACTCCACATGTTCTAACACTGTCCTATAGACGTTAATTTCTGAGAACAGGGCATTGTCAAATTAGGGTACCATAAATTCACTGCATTCCTCTCACCAATCTTGGCATTAGGATCTTTACAGTACTCCCACATGTCAGTAAAGTACGACCTTCTCTCACAGATTTGTGTGGACAATGCTTAAGTGAACTGTGCTTTTCGAATGGGCATTTTTACGTTCACAGTGTGATTTTTTTCAGTAGCTGACATGCAACCAACATGTCTCCAGTTTCCATATGAAATAATAACTAACATCTGATGCTTAATCGAATGAAAAAATAAATAGAAGTTCCTTATTTTTTTATTCTTTCAGCCTTTTCAAATTCAGTTGAAAAATTAAATATGCTTACACTTTCCACATTGTTTTCTTTTAATTTGTATTCACAATCCTTATTATGAAAAGTGGACTGATCCTGATACCATTGTATCATTAATAATTTCATTCTGATGCTAATTGTTGCCACATAATACAGCGGTTTGATGTGAAACTGATTATGCTATGTATTTTGCATGTTGAGATAGGAAATTACTTGTCAGGAATGGTCTTTAATATGGTTTTCATTGTATTCAACTAACCTGCTAATTACTATGTGTTGCAACAGGCAACATTTTCTTTTGCCCTGAATATTGTTCACATGTACAGCAGAGTAATTGTTAGCTGCAAAATCATCACAAATATATCGTTTGAAGTTTCTGTCTTTTTAGGTAGTTTATGAAATACTGCTCAGTTACAAGGTGGGAGGTTATTTAT